TCTCCCTGAGACACACACAGCAGATCTGAAGTTACCTCACCGAACATCTCAGACTTACTCACTCACATATCTTCCCCAACACTGCGGATCTGAAACATCACGATCATCTGCAGGAATTTACCTTTGGTCCACTGGTTCCAGGTACACCTGCGTCCCCCTGCCAAAAACACAAGACGTTTCAAACCCTGCCTAGAAAACAGCTTCTCCCAGTCTGCAGACCTTATTAGCTTAAACAGAAATACCTGTGGAAGGTAGTAATCGGACCACTCAAATATTTATCTATAATAATCACAAAACTACATTTTCAAAGATACTTAGAGACAAATAAAACACAGAATTAAATAATGACTAAAATCAACAAACAGTGGTAAAGAAAAAACGTAGGTTAAAGGTTATATAAAACACATCTTACCTTTTGCCCTTTTTCGCCGTCTTTCCCAGGTTCACCGTCTCGTCCATTAGCACCCTAAAGTGACAGAAATCAGCATATTAGGACCACACACACACACTCACACACACACACACTCACACACTAAGTAAGTACAGATCTAACAGCAATCTGAAGAGTGTTTTCACATTTCTTCAGTCAGGCTGAAACACTCATGACATTACAGCGGATGGGTTAACACAAGCGTTGGCTTTAAGCTGGAAACGGGGAGTTCGCTGAAGTGTACGGTTAGGCCGTTTCCCCCATCGTAACGGAGGCGTTCGTGCTCCATAATTCGAGCGGAGCAGATCAATATCAGTTAAGCAAAAGACATGAATGTTAGTCCATCACGCTCCTGCGGGCGGATCTGGGCTCGATTCACCGCTTTACGGGCCAGTGTTCATCTGAAAACTTTAGTGGATTAATACGCTATCTGATTTTCACCCAAGACAAAACATTCTGGAACAATTACATCAATCTGGAGGTCTGGATAACTGTGTAATGTCATGTTTCACAGAACTGTAATAACCCTGGAGTGGCAATGCCAACGCATCTGAAGGCCTTTAACACTAGAAGTGCCAGAATTCCAAAACTACTAGAACGGCCACGAACGGTCATTTTGACCGTTAGATTCGAAACAGTGTTTATTTCATTGACGAATAATTTTCATAATTTTATTTTCGTCAACCACATTTTTTCAAAGACGAAAACGAGACGATAACTAAATAAAAACTAGGTTTGAATGACAAAAACTATGACGAAAATGTTAGTGACGATATGCGAAGCGGTCAATAGGCTAATAATAATAATAGGACTAGCAGAACTAGTGAACTGCCCATGCAGCAACAGCGCAGGACAGGGCAGCAGCGCTCACCAGGATCATCCGACATGAATGGATCATCTGGATCCGCCGTGTCTGATGATAGCAGCCGTCTCTTTTTCCTTGATGTGGACTCTGACTCTGAATCACTCTCTAATGATATATAGCCTATAGATAACGTAAGTATTAGCCTATAGATAGGCTAACTGTAGTCTGGTTTTATTTGCTTATTTCTGATCAACAACTAATGTAGAAATTATTATATAGCAAACATCGCTACAGAGGTGACCAGACGGACCTTTCTGTTGACAGTTGAGAGAGAACACGATCAACCGCGGAATATTTAACAAAAAAATATCGCGAAATTCAGTGCGGTCAATATGACCGTCTATGGCCGAAATAGGTAAATATGTTCATTTTTTTTGTTTTGCCTTACGTTTACGTAACTTAATTTATATGAAAAGCATTTTAAATGAAAATACAGACAATTTTAGGAAAAGTCAGGTACCAACAGGATTTTATTATTTTTTTCAACAAAGTTATTGTAGATATAAAATTCTAAACGGTCAAAATGACCGTTGTGGCCGTTCTAGTGTTAATGAAGACAAGTATCTGTGTTCAAGAGCACTCTGATTTTAGCATCTAAATGCTCTGATTTCATTCAAAACAATGCAATCTCAAAATTATATTTCAGTTTAAATATAGCACAGTAACACCCTGGAAATCATCCATCAAAAAAAGTCTCAGGTAACCCCGTAACCACTGTTCCCTGAGAAGAGATGCACAGGGTCGCCGGAAGGTCCAGACTATACAATCTGACAAAGGTGTGACGAGGACCACTCCGCCGTTGGACGTCCCGTTCTGCGGACGCTTAGGGAGGGTGGAGGCCTGAGGGACCACCGGCCGGACCATTAGTAGGTGCCTTGGGTCCATAAGCCGGTCTTGGGTAAAGAATAGCCTTCAATCCTCCTGGAGCGAACTCTAAACAGGAGGAAGCAACCAACAAGGTCTGCAAGTCTCCTGCTCTCCTATGAGACGACATTGCCAGAAAAATGTCGTTTGTAAGGCTAGACACTTGTCTGATGCCGTGTCCAAAGGGTCGTAGGTTAACCCTACTAACACCATGGTGGGGTCCTATGCAGGTATCCTTACCTGAGCCGGAGGCCTCGTCCTACGGGTACCACGGAGGAAACGTGTAACGAGATGATGCCTTCCCAGCGAGCTGTTATCCAGGGGGACATGGAAGTCAACCACTGCCATCACAAACACCTTACGTGTAGAGGGGGAAAGGGGAACTGAAGCCGGGTCCAGCTGGTGCGGTCTACACCATGAAGTGAATGCTCTCCACTAGAATTTAGTTTGGTCTCCACTACCTCAGTATAGAGATCAGCGTTCAGGAACTGATCCCCCTCAGGGGCCAAACCCACAATTTCGACATCTCGGACCGGGGGTGTGATATCAAGCCCCGGCCGGTGTTATGAGGTCCCTCCTGACGGGAATCTCCACGGGGAGCGTCCAGGAGGGCTATCAGGTCTGAAACCCACACTAGGGCCGGCCAGAGCGGGCTACTAATGGGAGTTGACTAGAACTCCTGAGAGCAGAGTAATCGGGGGAAATGCGTACAGCTGAAGGCTTACCATGGCGTCCAGTCCCAGAGGAGCTGGATGAGTGAGGGAAAACCAGAAGGGAACAATGTGAGTTGAGACACAAACAGATCTATGTCCCGCTGGCCAAACTTCCTCCAGATTAGTTGCACCGTCTGCACTAGCGTTGGCCAAGCTTACTTCAACGACTCGATACACACAGGAGACAACTGTGCCAGCATCATGACCGAGTCCCACACTACTCCTAAATATGTCGTCCGTTGGACAGGAGTGAGCCTCAGCCCCAAGCACTACATGTGGTGGAGTACGACATCTCGATGCTGCCGTCTACTGATACTGTGCTAGAATTACCTAGGAGTCTATGTAATTGAGCACTCTTATACCCTGGAGTCTGAGTGGAAATAAATGCCGTTCTGGTACATGGTTTGAGTTTACCATCTGGAACCAGCAGCCCCAGTCCAGACACAAACTTAGATCCAGACCCAAACTCAGAGCCAGACTCAAACTTAGATCCAGACCCCCAGACCCAAAGTCAGATCCAGACCCAAACTCAGATCCAGACCCAAACTCAGATCCAGACCCAAACTCAGATCCAGACCCAAACTTAGATCCAGACCCAAACTCAGAGCCAGACTCAACTTAGATCCAGACCCCCAGACCCAAAGTCAGATCCAGACCCAAAGTCAGATCCAAACCCAAAGTCTGATCCAGACCCAAACTTAGATCCAGACCCAAACTTAGATCCAGACCCAAACTCAGAGCCAGACTCAAACTTAGATCCAGACCCCCAGACCCAAAGTCAGATCCAGACCCAAAGTCAGATCCAAACCCAAAGTCAGATCCAGACCCAAACTCAGATCCAGACCCAAACTTAGATCCAGACCCAAACTCAGATCCAAATTCAGATCCAGACCCAAACTCAGATCCAGACCCAAACTTAGATCCAGACCCAAACTCAGATCCAAATTCAGATCCAGACCCAAACTCAGAGCCAGACTCAAACTTAGATCCAGACCCCAGACCCAAAGTCAGATCCAGACCCAAAGTCAGATCCAAACCCAAAGTCAGATCCAGACCCAAACTCAGATCCAAATTCAGATCCAGACCCAAACTTAGATCCAGACCCAAACGTAGACCCAAACTCAGATCCAGACCCAAATTCAGATCCAGACCCAAACTCAGATCCAGACCCAAACTCAGATCTAGACCCACTTAACCAGTCCTCAATCACCTGTAAGTCAGATCCAGACCCAAACTCAGATCCAGACCCCCAGACCCAAACTTAGATCCAGACCCAAAGTCAGATCCAGACCCAAAATTAGATCCAGACCCAAAGTCTGATCCAGACCCAAACTTAGATCCAGACACAAAGTCAGATCCAGATCCAAACTCAGATCCAGACCCCCAGACCCAAACTTAGATCCAGACCCGAAGTCAGATCCAGACCCAAGCTCAGATCCAGACCCAAACTCAGATCCAGACCCCAGACCTAAAGTCAAATCCAAACCAAGCTCAGATCCAGACCCCAGACCCAAAGTCAAATCCAGACCCAAGCTCAGATCCAGACCCCAGACCCAAAGTCAAATCCAGACCCAAGCTCAGATCCAGACCCAAACTCAGATCCAGACCCCCAGACCCAAACTTAGATCCAGACCCAAAGTCAGATCCAGACCCTAACTTAGATCCAGACCCAAACTCAGATCCAAATTCAGATCCAGACTCAAACGTAGACCCAAACTCAGATCCAGACCCAAATTCAGATCCAGACCTAAACTTAGATCCAGACCTAAACTCAGATCTAGACCCACTTAACCAGTCCTCAATCACCTGTAACAACAGGCGCACGTGTTGGCTTAGAAATAAAAGACAGCGTGATTGTTTTCTTTGTGAATATATAGTAAAGTGTAATCAATTCCTGTGGTCAAAGCTGAATTTTAGCATCATTACTTGCTGTTTTGATTTCATTACTGCACAGGAAAAATAAAATCAAACTGTTGATTCGCGAGGCATGTGGACGAGTAAATAATATCAGAACATTGATGTTACAGTGAACTTCAGCTTAGTTTGAAAGATAGCCCTGTAATGGCTTGTTTAAATCCTGTTGGTTGTTATTTCTGTAATGAAGCGCAGTTCAAGATCGTTTACTCACCGATAGTCCCGGTTTGCCCATCTCCCCATCCTTCCCAGGAGCCCCGGGGGGCCCGACTGGCCCTGGGTGAGCTCCGACAGAAGGACCAGGAGGACCCGGTTGACCCGGAGGCCCTGGAGGACCCTGGTGAGAATCCAGCAACACAAGGATCTTAATCTAATGTGCTGCAATTCATATCTAACACATTTATATAATGACTACCTCATGTTTCATTCTGTTCAGTGTTAAATCATTTTATGCCACTATTTTAAGCGTTGACTTACAGCCGTTCATTCCTCATGGAATCAAGAGATCACATCAGCAAAGACAACTTCATTATAACAGGGCTATAACTCACCCGTATCACCTCTGTGTCACTGTCCAAGTCCAGGTAACCGGAGCCCGAGCCGTCAGTGCCGTCCTGCACGAGAGAAAGCCTCAGTGAGCTCGTGCTGTTATAGAGTTATCCAATGATATACATAATTACATAATCAAGCACATACCGGAGACTTGAACGCCCCTGGCCGTCCTGGTGGCCCCGGAGGTCCTGGAGGCCCTGCGAAGCCCACACCTGGATCGCCCTAGAGAACAAGCAGTGATCGAATCATCAGACTCTCAGCGAAACATTCCTTTGTTCCTCCCGTTCGGATGTTAATGAAATGTCAAATTCAGCTGCTGAAGACGATTATTTAAAAAAAATAAGTTGAACGGATGGCTTTAGCACATTTATATTCCATCAATAGCTCAATAAATCAGGCTGTCTTTCAAGAGTTATTCATATCATGGAGATGTACTTCTGGCACTTTGTTAAGCAAACGTGTGTCGTACCTTGTCCCCTTTGGGACCCGGATCTCCATTAAGGCCCGGGAACCCCGGAGGTCCCACCTCTCCCTGTGTGTGACGGAAAAGGAACAAAACAAAGTTCAGATTCATGGATGTTGGTTTGGTTCAAAGGAAGAACCAGCCGCTCACTCAGATGGAGCAGAAGCACAGTGAGGTCACGACCTTTGGAAGGACCTTAAAAAAACCGACTCGGTCTACAGTGAGCAAATAAAGTCAGAATACAATTCAATTTAATGAGCCACAACAATTCAGTATGAAATGATAAAAGAGCACATAAAAGTTTTGATGCTGAAAAGTCCTGCAAACTTTTGAGCAGTTGAGAATATCAATAATAAATGTTTGTAATTTCCATCTAATGGTTTTGTATTTCATAACTCTATGGCGTCTAATCAGAAGATACTCACAGCGGCGCCGTCGTTCCCTGGACGTCCCTGAAAGACAAAAACAGCCTTAATACACATTCATCTCCAACCTCCAGAGTGTTCAGCTCATGAAGAATATGAAGCGCTACATGGAATCGGGAACAAGTGTGTGTGACAGACTGAACATCTGCTTATGATGGACATTTGTGGCTTTATAGGAGTAGTTCACTTTTAAAAAAACTTTTGCTGATAATTTACTCGCCCCCGTGTCATCCAAGATGTCCATGTCTTTCTTTCTTCAGTTCGAAAGAAATTAAGGTTTTTGATGAGAACATTCCAGGATTTTTCTCCATATAATGGACTTCAATGGGGACCAAACGGTTTCAGTTTCAGTGCAAACTGTTCAAAGGGCTTTAAACGACACCAGACGATGAATAAGGGTCTTATGAAGCGAAACGATCGCTCATTTAATAAATAAACAACAAAGTTGAAGTTTTATAAGCTCAAATGCTCGCCTTGCTCTGTTCTGTGATGCGCGTTCGTGACTCTCCTGTTCGAACACGTTCATCAAAATGAACGAATCTTTTTTCAATTCATTTGGTTCACTCAACGAACGAAATGAACAAATTCTGAAAAAGATTCGTTCATTTTCATGAGCGCTGTATTTTTCAGGGTCCCTCACCTTCTGTCCGTCGGCTCCCGGAGCTCCTGCCGGCCCCTGAGGGCCCCGGGGTCCTGGTTCTCCCGATCCCAGCGGTGATCCAGGCGCTCCGGGCGCGCCGGCTGGACCTCGGTCTCCTTTCTCTCCTTTCTGCATGGTGATGACCTGTCAAACACTCAGCCGTTATTATCAGAGAGGAAGAGTGTAAGATAAGAGAATAAACCGACTCTGTGGCTCACGTGTCTGTCCTGAGAGGCTCCCTCTGATCTGATGGGCTCTGAAAACAACATTAAATATATTAACTGCAGCTGTTACTCGCATATAAAGAAATCTGCATAAATCAAATGATCTGCGGCCTCTGCGAATGCTTCTGATGTAAACTAAAAATATGGTCTGGTGAATAACACATAGTTGCTCAAATATGATTGGTGAAAAATTAGATAAGAAAAAAAAACATGAAAGAAAGGGAAAGCTGAAAATGAGATGAAAAAGCTTGAGCGTTCACCTGTGGGAGTGTTAATGATCATGTGGTCTCCGGAGCTTTCTGCCCAGTCTTCATCATCTGTGTGTGTGTGGAGCGAGGGAGCATCAGTAGGGGGCGCTCTCACCGGCTCAACCTCAAACAACAGCAAACACAGTCTCACAATCACAGCAGTGTGTGTGTGTGTGTGTGTGTGTGTGAGAGTGATGCCAGCAGAACTGCAATAGCTCTGAAGGTCATGGAAAACAGCGCTATCTGAACATTACACTTCTAAATAAAAGAGAAGTGGATCTGACTTCCATCAAACGCTGCTGTCACTCACCGTGGGATATTCTCTCTCTTCATGCACTTTCTTCACTTCGTCGCCAGTCTCCGTGTCGTCGTAGATCTCGTAACCGCTTCCGTAACCTGATGCCTGAAAGAATTGAGACACAGTTTTAATGTGATTCCTTTCGGGTTTCCAAATCTCAGCTTTACAGCAGTTAAACACACATCCGCAGCGTCCAGCTTCAGCCACAGGGCGGCGCTGTCACTCCACTGTAAACTCCCGGACACTTCCACTGCTCAGGATAAAGGGCTTTGGGTTCGGAAAAGCTTTTGAAGCTTTAGAGACACACAGTCCAAACCATCTGAATCAAACTATTTAAAGTGTTATATTAACCCGTGTCTAACACATAATGAATAGTATAAAAGATATAGTAGTAGTTTTGAACAAACCAAATGTCTGTAACCTTCCTATTTTTTGCTCATTAAAGCTGCATATATTTGATACAAAAATACAGTATATTACTCCAGTGTAAATCATCTGTTGTCTATGTGAATATACAGTAAAGTGTAATTTATTCCTGTGATCAAAGCTGAATTTATCATCATTACTCCAGTCTTCAGGGTCACATGATCCTTCACAAATCACTCTAATATGAGGATCTGATGCTCAAGAAACATTTATGATTATTATCAGTGTTGAACACAGATGTGCCGCTTCATATTTCTGTGGAAACCGTCATATATTTTATCTTTCATGATTCTCTGATGAATAGAAATTTAAACAGAACAGTCTTTATCTGAAATATAATCTTTTGTAACATTATAAATGTCTTTACTGTCACTTGTGATCAAAAATGAAAAAAGGGTAACACTTCATTTTGATGGTCCCTTTTGAACATTAAGTTGAATATAAGTAACTAGATGTCAACTAACTCTCATTAGAGCATCAGTCTGTTCAATATCTGCAAACGCTTTATTGTGCTGATCCTCAAACAGACATTTTATTGACTATAAATATCTTTGCAACTTATTGTATCCCTAACCCCACCAGTCTACCAGTACTCTACTACTACTCTAGTGAGAGTTAGTGAAGTCAACGTTAGTTATAGTCAACAGAATGTGTTAAAGGGACCATCAAAATAAAGTGAAACCTTTTTATTAACTCACCACAAACTTTTCATCATATTTCATAATTCTGATCAAATCTGATGAAATGGTATTCAATTAATTGAATTGAAAAAAAATGTTTTGCTGTGTATCATTTTACATTAAACCTAACTTAACCCTAACAAAAAACAGATGTGACATTCCCTAAAATAGTGACACCCAGGAAGTGACATCATTTAGATTTTTTGTATGGATATTGATACAATTGTGTTACCCAAGTTACTATAAAAATGCCTCATTTTGTGCCACATTCATAAATTATATTTGACATATTGATGGAAAGACGACACAACACTCACGTAAGGCTCGTCCTCCTCACACTGCTCGTTCGGTGCCGTGGGATCGGCCGTCAGAACCAGCTGCTGGATCGAGCCCTGGAGAGAGAGAGAGGGAGAGAGAGAGAGAGGTCATGCACTCATTTCTCCCAGAATTTAATCAGCCTGAAACTGATTGTGAAATGTTGAAACTCAGCCACCGCAGCTGTAAATCACAGTACACACACACAGAAACACAACTCCAGAACTCCAGCTCTGTTCACAATCACAACAGTAGAAGTTTCATTGATCTGAGCTTGAGCGGCCATCGTCAGTCCTGCTGTAACAGCTCATGTTTTCTCAAAGATCTAACGAGCTGAGGTCCTGATTAGCAGAGGCGAGGTTGGCAAGCTTCAGTGCTACACATCCAGAGGACAAACACCTGTTCCCATCCGCTACGGCACAGAGTGTGGGAAACAACCAAAGAAAGAAAGAAAGAACGAAAGAATGAAAGACAGAAAGAAAGAAAGAAAGAAAGAGAGAAAGAAGGAAAGAAAGAAAGAAAGAAAGAAAGAAAGAGAGAAACAACCAAAGAAAGAAAGAAGGAAAGAAAGAAAGAAAGAAAGAAGGAAAGAAAGAAAGAAAGAGAGAGGTTGAACAGATCTTTATTGTTACATTAAATTCAGGATTTTACAACACCATTGTTACCTGTATCCTTTTACCTCAACAACAAATAATTTAAAACATATACTAAAAAGTAAAAAGTAAATCTGCATCATCAAAAACACACAAAACCTCATTTATACCCCATATTCTTAAAAACCTTTCAACATCATTGATCAGCTTATAATATGAAAATTCTATTTTTATCCTTCCTTTTACCATACACTTCAACATCATTTCTACATTTGTTGAACCAACTTTCAACTCTTTGTTTTTTCTTGTTTTCCATATTGCAAGCTTTGCTGTACCAATGAGGTAATTTAATAAACACAGTTTACCTCTATCGAGCACTTTGTATTTAAGTCCCCCAATAAAAACTTTATGGGAAAACTCCTCACCAATCCCCTGAAACCAGAATCAAGCAAGTCAAGAAGACCTCCAAGCCTCAAACATTGTAAGAACAAATGCTCTATCGTTTCTTCAGCACTACAGAAACTACAACACCCCCCCACTGCTGGATTTAGGTGTGCTACGTGTCTGTTTGTAGCTATCGCCCTGTGAATAAGCCTCCACTGCAGATCAGCTGTCCGCTTCTCGATGGGAGGCTTATACAGGACTCTCCACCTGTCCCTCACCATGAAGTCTGGCTCCATTGTCTCTGTCCACTTTGCGAAACTCTGCCGGCTGAGTGAGTCCATGTGAATGACTTTCACTGTAACATACAGCATTGCTTTCTTTGATGCATCCTCAAGCTCTTCCAGCTGCGGAGTTTTAAAAGTCAGTATAGATCCTTCCCGCTCTTCTTGTCCTTCACTGACAGCAGGAAATATTTTCAACTTTGGAAACCCTCCTTTCCGCTGTTGTACATGTCCCCCAGCAACAAGGTTTCTGTAACTGCTCGGCAAAGCAGCAAAATCTCATCTCTTAATTTTGAAACAATTCTTATCGAGCACAGACCAGATAGCTCTTTAAAAGTGGCCACTGAACTCCATCTGCCATTGTCCAATAAATGTCCCAGTTTAGTGACTCCATTCTTTACAAGAGTTCTCCGAATGCTCATTGATGATAAAAACTTGGTCTGAATCAACGGATTATTGAACAGTGGTTCCTCATACATCCAGTCCCCAAGCTCATTCAAGTTTCTCTCCACTTTCAGAACTTTATTCCAAGCTTGCAACATTGATTTGTAAAAAGAAGAGAGACTGTCCAGTTTCAGCCCGTCCATTTTCAATAGAAACAAGTGTTTGTCTAGTCCAAAACTTTCAACCTTCTGCAGAAAAGCACATGCCGTCTGTGTCCATGCTAATTCCTCTTGGTATAGAAATTTCTGCACCGCTTGCAGCCTGAAAGCAACAATTCGACTCTTTACATCCACCAGACCTTGACCTCCTTCATGTACCGGTAAGTAAAGCACCGCAGCCCGAGTCCAGTGTTCGCCACTCCAGAAAAAGTCCACTATTTTCCTCTGTATATTACAAATCAGTTCACTTGGTGTTAGAAAGAAAGAAAGAAAGAGAGAAAGAGAAAGAAAGAGAGAGAGAAAGAAAGAAAGAGAGAAAGAAAGAAAGAAAGAGAGAAAGAAAGAAAGAAAGAAAGAGAAAGAAGAAAGAAAGAAAGAAAGAAAGAAGAGAAAGAGAGAAACAACCAAAGAAAGAAAGAAGGAAAGAAAGAAAGAAAGAAAGAAAGAAGGAAAGAAAAAAGAAAGAGAGAAAGAAAGAAAGAAGGAAAGAAAGAAAGAAAGAGAGAAAGAAAGAAAGAAAGAAAGAAAGAAAGAGAGAAACAACCAAAGAAAGAAAGAGAGAAAGAAAGAAAGAAGAAAGAAAGAAAGAAAGAGAGAAAGAAAGAAAGAGAGAAAGAAAGAAAGAGAGAAAGAAAGAAAGAAAGAGAGAAACAACCAAAGAAAGAAAGAAAGAAAGAAGGAAAGAAAGAAAGAAAGAGAGAAAGAAAGAGAGAAAGAAAGAAAGAGAGAAAGAAAGAGAGAAAGAAAGAAAGAAAGAAGGAAAGAAAGAAAGAAAGAAAGAAAGAGAGACTGCTCTCGACTGGTGTTCAGTCATGCGTTACATGTGACGGCGTATGCAGGAGCTACAAAGGGACGCGGCACACAACAGTGCTCGCTTCTGATAGGTGGAGGCCAGTCACCATCGGGCACTCAGGAGGCGTGGCAAAGGGACGCAGTGTCTCGTTCCCTTCTTAGGGAATCAGGGAGACAGTCGTAACCCCAGACGTTCCCTTTGGAGGGAACATGCGCTGCCTCAAAGACGACAGGTTGGGGAACGAAACACCCTCTGGGTCACACTAGTCTCACACAGCTCAGGACGAGAGGACTCGAGATCCAGCATCTGATGAAGGTGTGCAGGGACCATCACAGAAGAGGTGAGGGCAAACTGTGCCACATTCACTGAAGAGACAGCCTCCATAATCTCCCCGATAATGAGTGACCCAATACACACCTACAGCTCCTCCGACTTCCCCCAACCAGAGGAGCTGGTCCAGAGGCACCTTGGGCTCGTAGCCTGGCCTACAGTGGAGAATGGCTTTGACCCTCCCAGGAGTAAACAGGGAGAAACAGAGAGAGCCTGGAGGTCCCCAACTCTTGTGAGGGATGCAATAGGAGAGACCCTGGCCTGGACAACAGGCCTCATCCTCTGAGCACCGTGAAGGAAACTAATGATCAATTGGTGACTCCCCAAGGGGCCACCGCTTTAAAGGGGACGGGAAATAAAGGCTATCACCCTGAACCCCAACAACTCCCGAGATGATCCAAACCTCTCCTCTCCTCAGTCTGATGTGTTTGCCCGATGAAACAGGAGAACCAAACGAGACTGAGCAAACATTCCCATTATTATCTCCATAAAGCAGGAGAATCCCATTCCACAGGTAAGGAGAACACACTCCATCATTATGACAGCAAGAAGTTCTCAATCCATGAGGGTAAACACTTTAACTATCGGGGAAACCTGTAATAGTCTCGAAAAAGTTAATCTCAAATAGTCTTCTCAAAGAGTGAACTAAATCTAGTTGACTGGTACACTTAAGCCAGATCTGCTCAATTAAAATACACTCTCCTAAAGGATTATTAGGAACACCTGTTCAATTTCTCATTAATGCAATTATGTAATCAACCAATCACATGGCAGCTGCTTCAATGCATTTAGGGGTGTGGTCCTGGTCAAGACAATCTCCTGAACTCCAAACTGAATGTCAGAATGGGAAAGAATCTGCTTTCACAATCTGCTCAGTTACTGGGATTTTCACACACAACCATTTCTAGGGTTTACAACGAATGGAGTGAAAAGGGAAAAACATCCAGTATGGGTCAGTCCTGTGGGTGAAAATGCCTTGATGATGCGAGAGGTCAGAGGAGAATGGGCCGACTGATTCAAGCTGATAGAAGAACAACTTTGACTGAAATAACCACTCGTTACAACCGAGGTATGCAGCAAAGACACAACACACACAACCTTGAACAGCAGAAGACCCCACCGGGTACCACTCATCTCCACTACACATAGGAGAAAGCTCACCAAAACTGGCCAGTTGAAGTTGAACAGATGGTAGAGTCCGAATTTGTCGTAAACAGAATGAGAACATGGATCATCATGCCTTGTTCCCACTGTTGGGCTGGTGGTGGTGGTGTAATGGATGTTTTCTTGGCACACTTTAGGCCCCTTAGTGCCAATTGGGCATCGTTTAAACGCCACGGCCTACCTGAGCATTGTTTCTGACCATGTCCATCCCTTTATGGCCACCATGTCCCCATCCTCTGATGGCTACTTCCAGCAGGATAATACACCATGAATCATTTCAAACTGGTTTCTTGATCATGTCAATGAGTTGACTGTACTAAAATGGCCGCCACAGTCACCAGATCTCAACCCAATAGAGCATCTTTGGGATGTGGTGGAACGGGAGCTTCATCCCACAAATCTCCATCAACTGCAAGATGCGATCCTATCAATATGGGCCAACATTTCTAAAGAATGCTTTCAGCACCTTGTTGAATCAACGCCACGGAGAATTAAGGCAGTTCTGAAGGTGAAAGGGGGTCCAACACAGTATTAGTGTGTGTTCCTAATAATCCTTTAGAGGAGTGCATTTACACTTAATAATTTCTGTAAAATTTTCTCAAACCTACTTTCAATTTTCTGTAATTTTGTGAACATGTAACAAAACAACTGTGGTGTATTTATAGTGTTGCTTGAAGCTGCAGTTTTACAGACGGACTGCAGCTGTGAACGCCATCGCTCTCAAACACTCGTTTATTCAGGCAGTCCATCAACAGCCTGTGTTGACTCAGCAAATCACATCTTCTGGCCACACACACACTCTCACACACACAAACATGCGCCGACAGGAGAGCAGGACACTCCAAACCTGGACAGTAAATCTGCACATATAGTCGTGATTACTCAGATAACGGTGTCTTTGCCAGACGTGATGCACAATAACACTTCATTTGGATTTAAACAATATAGTTTAAAAATTGCTGTAAATGTAAAAGAATATCAGTCGACGACAGCGAAACTCCATGACTTATAATACAGTTTTTCTCAATTTTACACACAAATTCTGGTACTTGACACACAATGAGCACAACATGTAACTGACACACAACCCCAGTTCTGCTGAACTACACACACGATTCCTGCTTTACACACACACTGCAGCTCTAAAACACACTTTCTCAAAACACTGCACACAGTTCTCTGCTTTTGGTACAATTTACCTGCAGAAAATCTCTTGTTTTCATGAGGAATCACAGATCTGCACACTGACTCGACACACGCCACAGTTTTCCAGTCAGAGCTTCAAGCGTACAGACCGAAGCAGTAGAAGAGCGGATGGCTTTACTGTACACAGTACACAGTAATCCTCCTGTTGTTCTGTAGACCACTGTATGTGCAACTGTGTGTAGTTCGGGATGTACACTGTGTTCATTGTTTTTGTGGGAAAAATAAAATATGTTTGTTACAGTGTATTTGTGTGTTCTGAATAAAAACTTGACGGTGTGTGTGTGAGATTGTGTGCGTGTGCATGTGTGTGTTCTGTCTCTTGGCATCTACACTGAAGTACAGTGAGACGGCCTCGTTTCCAAACACACTCATCTGCTCAACACAAAAGAATGAAAGGTCGTATTTTGTAACCAATGAGCACAACTGATCTGTTTTATTTACAGTTTTTCTTGATTGTTTACACACATTTTCTGAAAGAATGCCTCATATTCTCAGAACTCTACACACAAATCTAAAAACACACACACAATCGGCAAAACCCCTCAATTCTCCTGCAAAATGAAACTTTACATTCAAAACAATGTTTTTTCTTCTCAAAACGGTATTTTGTTTTCAAATGACACACACAAACCATCATATGAAAAGACATTTATAAGAACCAGTTGAACACTGATGTGCTCAATGGAAAACACTTCTTCTCCATTCATCATAATTAATTGGGCCTTTTTTGTTCAGTGTTACACTTACTACAGATATTACATACATAACTGTGTTGTAAAATATTTGAGAATATTGTTTTTTATACCCAGAACACACAAATACACGGTAACAAATATATTTTACTGTATTTTTCCCACAAAATCAATGGGAGATTGGTTGGTACACCCCAACCAACACAAAGTTGCACATACAGTGGTCTACATACAAAACAACAGAATTTGTTATGCTGTTACAGTAAAAAAAGAAATAAAAAAAATATCTATGCTGCATCCTCTCTTCAGTTTTGGTATTTTATGCTAAAGCTCTGATCGCTAATTGTAAAACTGTGTGACGGGTGTTTGCCCGTGTGACGAGTCAGTGTGAATATCTGAATGGCAGTGTGTGTTCCTCGTGAAAACAAGACATTTTCTGCATGAAAATTATGCCAAATGCAGAGAATTGTGTTTTGAAAAACGTGTGTTTTAGAACTGCAATTTGAGTGTAAAGCAGGAATTGTGCTTGTAGTTCAGCAGAATTGGTTCAGGGGGTTGGTCAATGAGTTACATGTTGTGGTCATTGTGTCTCAAGTACCAGAAAATGTGTGTAAACAAGCGAGAAAATCTGTAATCTCTCAAGCAAGATTTTTGACCACCGGCAAGAAGTCACACTGTAGACGTCTGTCCACAGCAGACACAAGATTCTGGGACACGATCAAATTAATCAAAACCCACAGCCAATCAGAAGAGTGTGTGGGCGGAGTCTCTCTGCAAAGTCACTGCACTTGCAACCAAATCAATCAAAACCCACAGCCAATCAGAAGAGCGTGTGGGCGGAGTCTCTCTGCAAACTCACTGCACTCGCAACCAAATCAATCAAAACCCACAGCCAATCAGAAGAGCGTGTGGGCGGAGTCTCTCTGCAAACTCACTGCACTCGCAACCAAATCAATCAAAACCCACAGCCAATCAGAAGAGTGTGTGGGCGGAGTCTATCTGCAAACTCACTGCACTCGCAACCAAATCAATCAAAACCCACAGCCAATCAGAAGAGCGTGTGGGCGGAGTCTCTCTGCAAACTCACTGCACTCGCAACCAAATCAATCAAAACCCACAGCCAATCAGAAGAGCGTGTGGGCGGAGTCTGTTTTAATTTATTTTCAAAATCTGAGGAGAATTAACCGAATTCACTGTATACTTGCATTGCATGGAAAAGAGCAGCTCGGACATTGTGCTAAACATCTCATTGTTTGTTTTATGTCAGAAAAAAATCATTTTGTGTGTGTGTGTGTATGTGTGTGTGTGTGTGTGAGAGAGAGATAGAAGAGAGAAGGGGAAAACATTAATTCATACACTTTAGTGGTCCAAAAAGGGAAAAAAAATGAAAATACACGTCCGTGCTCATGTCTCCAGTCGTGTAAGACTGCCACGTCGCCGCTCTTGTGGCGGGCTGATGTTGTCCAATGTTGTTCAGAATGTGAACGAGCCACAAATCAATGTCTTGGCGCCTCTCTCGCCCGAGCTGACGGTTATACGACACATCTGTGATGCTAATGTACGCTCTTTAATTGGTTTAGAGACGATGCATGTCTTTTGTTCTTTTCCTTTATCAAAAGCAGCAACCGTGCACAACTATGGTCATCGCAACCTTCCCGTCATATTCCTGTGATTAATGTGCAATACTGTGGTTTATGGTATTATGCGCTGTGAGGAAGCTCAGATTAAAGGTAAACAGACTCGAGCCGCACCGTAACTCTGTTAGTTAGTGATGCTAAACACACACACACGTGGGCATAACACACTTCGCCCCAAACCTCGTGAGCATCCTAACCAGGGCATTCAATGCATTTAAGCGTGTTTTATCCAAGCAAGAGGAAGCAAAAAGCTGTGTTTAATCCGCTTACACCGTGTGTGCGTTTATAAGTGGACAGCATTGCTGAGTATTTCCTCCTTAAAACTGCAGTGAACCAAAGACAGTCTCAAAAACACGCTTTGGTGTTTCTGACGTCACAAACCACCTTGTAACCAATCAGATCAACGTGTGATCGTCAACCAGTGGATCTCTGAGTGAGGGAGTGAGTGGAGGCGGGGCTCATTTGGATATTCATAGAATGAGGCAAGGGTGTCGAGTTACATTCAAGATATTTTAAGGCATGAAGAGATTTTTATTTAAGAAAAAAAAACGTTTAAATATGTAATTTTGGTGATGAAAGAAGAGGTCCAACTATTGACTCCAGGGGGCTTTAAAACGAGGGTTTGGATCAGAAGCAGTGTGTAAACAGTAAATCAGAAACTCACCAGGAAGGGCTCCATCCGTGTTCCTCCAGCGTTCCCGATGAAGATGCCGGAGCTGGGCTGGAAGGAGAGTGTGTGTTGGCTCCGGTGGAAGGCCACGCGGTGGTGTTCCTCACAGTCCATGTAGAGCTTCACCTCCTCGCCCTGCACCGCCAGCGTGAACCGGGCCCACCGGCCCGTGAGCTCCGCCATCTTGAAGGAGGCCGCCTCGCGCGTGTGTGCGTCTCCGGACTCGCTGTAGTACAGAAGCACCCGCTGAGACCCGTCCTCCACCGGCGCCAGCGCCACCCCCAGCTGCACCACCTTCTGCAGGGCGTCGGTGATGGCGAACAGCACTCCCCCCCGACGGCTGCTGGGTTTGGCCGTGACGATGATGGCGAAGTCCCGGAAGAACGGGTCTGGGATGAAGGAGCGCGTGAGGCGGCCCACGTTAGCGTCCGGCCCGAAGCTGTACGCGGGGAACCCCTCGAAGCCCGTGATGAAGGAGACCGACGGGGGCAAGGGCACGCCGATGAGCTCCGTCAGGTCCAGCTGCCCGCCAGAGCCGCTCTCTACACACACACACAGAGCAAATCAGCGGTTAATGCTGGGATATTCTCCGGCCACAGGAGCCGGATAGTGTTAGTGGATATGTTGAGCTGTCCAGCTTGAGCTAAATCTCTCAAAAATAAAACATTTACAATGTGACCCGTTAGCTTAGCAACATACTAACATTTGACTCCTGAAAACATCATCAAACACACAGTAAAAACAGTCAAATATTATTCCAATGTAAAGTATTTTTTCTATGTCAAGTCTCCTCCATTTATACAGCGCTAATTCATACAGTGATAACATGAGATTAATATTGCAGCCTAATGTTGAGTTTAGGAAGTCTATAGTGTGTTATGTGTGTGCTAGGCCGGAGAGATGTGTTTTTAATCTAGATTTGAACTGATAGAGTGTGTCTGCTTCCCAGACAGTGTTAGGAAGATTGTTCCAGAGTTTTGGTGCTAAATAGGAAAAGGATCTCCCGCCTGCAGTCGATTTAGACATTCTAGGGATTATCAACTGGCCGGAGTTTCGAGATCGCAATAGACGTGAAGGACTATAATGCGTTAAGAGCTCGCTCAAGTACTGGAGATAAACCATTTAGTGCTTTATAAGTAATCAGCAATATTTTTAAAATGTATACGATGTTTAATAGGCAGCCAATGCAGGGTCGACAGAACCGGGCTAACATGGTCATACTCCCTGGTTCTGGTAAGAACTGGAGCGGCTGCGTTTCGGACCAGCTGGAGTTTGTTTATTAAGCGTGCAGGACAACCACCCAGTAGAGCATTACAGTAATCTAGCCTTGAGGTCATGAACACATGAACTAACTGTTCCACATTCGTCAATGAGAGCATATGGAGTAATTTAGATATATATTTTTAAGATGCGGTTTTACAGATACAAGACTCATGACTTTCAAATGAAAGAATATATTGTGAATATACAGTAAAGTGTAATCAAAGCTGAATTTATCATCATTACTCCAGTCTTCAGTGTCACATGATCCTCCAGAAATCACTCTAATATGAGGATCTGATGATCAACAAACATTTATGATTATTATCAGCTTTTAAGATTTTTCGATCCCATCTGCAGACAACGCATGCTTTACCAAATACGAGACATTATTATTATGAGCTCCTGTGTAAAATCTTTCAGTCCATCTTAAAGTCTCACATCTCAAATTAAGGTCTTTATAATCACTCCATGCATTTTCCTGTTTATGTGCTGAGCGGCGGCCAACAGTCCTGCAGTTTTATTACCACACACACACACACACACACACACTTATCCAGGGCTGTAAACTCCCTCCATGTCCTACATCTTCATTCCACTTCAATCAGCTTCTGTTTTAAGGAAGAATCTCCGTTTCCCTTGCAGATGAGAAACCAAAACACCCTGAAGCCGGAGCTAATCACAGATCAGCTTCATTTCCACTTCAGCTCCCGAACACATCAACCCGAGGCCTACCAGCCGACGCTCGAGTCGAGTCCTCGCTGAAGACCTGGAGACACACATGGTCTTGATCAGAGTCGAGGAGACCTGCACAAACAATCGCTCGCTCTGTGACGACACGCGCTCATCTGGAAGCGGTTAGCGTGGGCTAACAGAACCGCTGTGATGAACGTGCCTGCACAATTAGACTTGTAGATCCTTGAGGAAACACAACAGCCTGAAGAAAGAAACGACACTGCTATCTACACACTTACAGCACAACTTAATACTAGAAGAACTAAGAGATCCTGCTAGAACACTAATGCTAAATACTGAACATCCAGTCTCAAAGAGGCTTCTGTCTCAGATGCCCACTGGAGTTAAGGAATCTCCCATTTCAAGTTGATTTTTTTAGTTTATTCACACGACTTTTTATCGGATCAAAACTATTATTCTATATAACTCACTGTAACTCAATATAACCCACTGTAACACACTGTAACTCACTGTAACCCACTATAACTCAATGTAACCCACTGTAACTCGCTGTAACTCAATATAACCCACTGTAACTCACTGTAACTCAATATAACCCACTGTAACTCACTGTAACCCACTGTAACTCGCTGTAACTCAATATAACCCACTGTAACCCACTGTAACTCACTGTAACTCACTGTAACCCACTGTAACTCAATGTAACCCACTGTAACTCACTGTAACCCACTGTAACTCAATATAACCCACTGTAACTCACTGTAACTCACTGTAACCCACTGTAACCCACTGTAACTCACTGTAACTCAATGTAACCCACTGTAACTCGCTGTAACTCAATATAACCCACTGTAACCCACTGTAACTCACTGTAACTCAATGTAACCCACTGTAACTCGCTGTAACTCAATATAACCCACTGTAACCCACTGTAACTCACTGTAACTCAATATAACCCACTGTAACTCACTGTAACTCACTGTAACCCACTGTAACTCACTGTAACTCAATATAACCCACTGTAACTCACTGTAACCCACTGTAACTCACTGTAACCCACTGTAACTCACTGTAACTTAATATAACCCACTGTAACTCACTGTAACTCAATATAACCCACTGTAACTCACTGTAACTCACTGTAACCCACTGTAACTCACTGTAACCCACTGTAACTCACTGTAACTCAATATAACCCACTGTAACTCACTGTAACTCACTGTAACCCACTGTAACTCACTGTAACTCAATATAACCCACTGTAACCCACTGTAACTCATACCCACTGTAACTCAATATAACCCACAGAGAGACCGTATGAAGTCGCTGCACTGATGTATTGAGTGAAACGGCTCGCGAACTATACTAGCAACTTTTAAATCACTTTTTTTTTCAGTGTAGTATAATAAATAATTATAATTATATTGTCACTGATAAATAAATCACAATAAACCCGGTAACATGCCTTAAGAAATGAAAATTATGCCTATGAAAATTAATGGGGTAAATTCAATTTCATGCCAACTTTACCTTTTATGAAGAGGAATTAAAGGCATTATGACGTGCACTTGAAAGGTAATATGAAATGTTTACATCTTTACATTCATAAATTAATGCATAGATTGGAATTGAGCACACATGCATCACAGTGTAAATGCTTACATGCATCTAAACCGGTTACAATTTTGCTATGCATGTAAACACGCTCAATAATGACAGCAACAATCTGTTGACCTGCCATTCGTGAATCAAAGAATCTTTAGATTTTCCTAGTTTCACCAGTCTGTTGTGCAACTAGTGGAAACGCTTAGCAAGTATAAAGACATCTATATCATTTGTACTTTTATGACTCCAGAGCAGATGTGCCTCTCGCCTGAAGATCGACAACACAAGGCTTCTGATGAAGAGATGAAGGTCAGTGACTGGCTCTCAGTGGATCGAGGTCAGTGTCAGGATGAGTAACAAGGAGCACATTATTACTTATCGGGAATGTGGAATGGACCAAAGGTTGAAGGGTTTGGGCAAATATGTTGATCATGTGATCACAGCCGGACGAGGTTTGGAATAAGCTTTGCTCAATCTAGGCTGGGTTAAATAATGAAAATGTGAAGCTTTTAAAATTAAAACACTACAACATGGTAACTGCAAATTAAAATGTACTGATTTGTAAACGTACACTAACTATTCAAATCACAATCTGTTTTCAAAGAAAAAATAGTTAAAAATGCTTTTAAAAAATCAAAAAAGCCCATTATAAACTAATGTGCATCAAAAATAAATAAATAAATGAATAGTGGCGTTCCTTTGGTCACAGTATTCCTGAACTCAGAAACCACTGCTGCTGTAAAACTGTAGAAGCTCAACATGTGATCCGGTCTCCACAACAACCACTGCTTGTGTAATACATTTAAATGTTAACCGTAATTACTGTATGTTTCTGTTTGCGTTCCAATTATATATGATCCATGAATCCCGGAGAGTAAGATCAGAAAAAGCCCCACAAATGAGGAGAAACCCACAGATTTTCATGGAAGTGATCGCTGTGCTGGTCCTGATCATGAAACACAGAGTTAGCAAGTCACACATATATAATCTAATTAGTAATTGCAAAATGAGTAAACCTTCAGACCAAGAATGATGCTGATGGCTGACTCAGTTTGGATTGCAGTGTATCAGTAACAGAATGAAGGGATCTCATCAGTCCAGAATGAGGTATTCGGCCTGAGTATATAAACCCTTCCCATGAGCCTCGAGTGAGCAATCATTCGGGAAGACAGTCACTTGATGAAAACCAAATGTATAACAGAAAAATACATGAATTAGTATAACACATGCAATGTGAATAAATGTCCATTGAGCACGAACATCATATGTTTTTGGTCAGACTTGGCGAGTCGTCCAGTTTGTCATGTGTTTAGTGACGCTGACCTCGGCTTCAGGACATGAGAGACGAAGCCAGATCCGCCTCATCCCAGTCTGCCACTCCCTTCAGCAAACCACTCAAGAGTCCAGCATCACCAGCATTACCAGCACTTCCCTTCTTCACCCACTGTAACTCACTGTAACTCAATATAACCCACTGTAACACACTGTAACTCACTGTAACCCACTGTAACTCACTGTAACTCAATGTAACCCACTGTAACTCGCTGTAACTCAATATAACCCACTGTAACCCACTGTAACTCACTGTAACTCACTGTAACTTAATATAACCCACTGTAACACACTGTAACTCAATATAACCCACTGTAACTCACTGTAACTCAATATAACCCACTGTAACACACTGTAACTCACTGTAACCCACTGTAACTCACTGTAACTCAATGTAACCCACTGTAACTCGCTGTAACTCAATATAACCCACTGTAACCCACTGTAACTCACTGTAACACACTGTAACTCACTGTAACCCACTGTAACCCACTGTAACTCACTGTAACTCAATGTAACTCAATATAACCCACTGTAACTCATACCCACTGTAACTCAATATAACCCACTGTAACTTAATATAACCCACTGTAACACACTGTAACTCAATATAACACACTGTAACCCACTGTTACTCACTGTAACTCAA